GAGGATAAAGGAAGAGATTTGTAGATTGCATGAGACAAGCGTTTGAATCTATGGAAATCTTGTGAGTGCACTTGCAAGACATTAAGAAGCATGTTTGGGTGAAGATATAGCACACAGGTCCTTTTTGAAGCATTGTACAGTTGAAAATTGTGCTTGGGAATGTCACGTGAAGAATATATTGGACTTTACATTATTTAATCATTGGAAGTTATATGGATATGTGATTACACGGAATAATCTATACAGATTTTTTTTTCTATTCTGTATATGTTTTTTATATAAAGTTAGAGGCAGAGCACAATACAGGAGATATTAGGAATTATGGGAAAATGTTTATACACTTTATTAGTATTGCAGCTTGACAACCATTAGCAGTATCACTTATTACCTTGGTGCGGTCAAAATAGTTGTTATACCATTCCTCTATTGTCTTTGAGTTTTGTTTGGCCCTGTCACACCTTTTTTTGGTTGAGGTGCACTGCCAGCCATTTAAAATAAATGGCCTACCTTATCACAGGATGCCATAATGCAGGAAAATGTGTGAATGTATGACTCTGACCTATGTCTTGCAGATGATTTCACATTTTCTTGATCGTCCGTTGAGGGACAGAGGAATTCAGGAATTCTGAAACAGCCAGGCATTATGCTGCTTTCTACAGGAGCCTTGGACACTAGCAAGCCAAAAAAAACAAACCTCCAAGGCCAGCCTCCGTATACCTTCACCTCTAATCGTCATGCCTCAGTTTTTTTTGCTAGTGCCCTAGAAGGCTTGGATGTTTTTCTCTGCTCTGCTGCGAAGATCTAACTATAGTTTGCTAGCTTGTTATTTTTTTCTTCAATTACTTTAATCAAGATGCTTGATTATTATCCTAATCTAAGCATCAGGAGCATCCTCTGTGACTTCCTCTAGTTATTTAGCAGTTCTCACGCAGGAAACCACCTATTTTGTTTCAGATTTGGACCTTGGTGTTGCAAGACCATTCCTGGTTCTATTTTAGATCTGCCAGTGGCTGTTTTTCATCCCTCAGTTGGGCTGCTTTTGGACTTTTTAGATTTTTTTACTTGCCATAAAATCTTTTTCTTAAAATCCATTGAGTGATACAGCCTCCTCTCTGTATTTAACCGTCTTATGTACTGCTAGAAATGAATAGTAGGAAAAAGGACTTAATACACACATAATAAACTATAAGCTTTATAAATTCCTTCAGCCAATCCTTGATTCTTTCATTAAATCACGACCCCCACTTACTCTATAACTTCTTTACTCTAATAAATTATGTTCTATGGGCTATAATTTTATCTACACAAAGAACACCCATCTGAACATGTTAGAGGAGGGACATATCCCTTCCTTGATCCTGCTTATTCATCCCCATCTTAAGCTGGGTACACGCGTAGCAAATTTTGGCTGATTCAGCAGGAATCTGGTGAAATTTGCTGTGTTGGTGACCCTATTCCTTCACCAGTGCTCGATCATTAGATCGATTTTGCTGAAGGAACTGGAAATGGGTGTGGTTACGGGGGCGTGGCCACTAAAGGGTGTGGCCACTGAGGGGCGCTGTAAAGCTTTCTCGCACAGGGCGCCTAAAGGCCTAAGGCCGGCCCTGCATGTTGGACAATCATCGTTGGAACTGTGTTTGCAGCCAATTAGCTACAAGCTCCCTTCAGGTACTCTGACAGCATCTGGCAGCCACTATTAGAATACAATAGAAGCAGTGGGCGGATTCGTCCGTCCATGCTCTTCATTGTGGATGGAGGAATCTGTTATTTTTTTTCTTTTTTTCAGCCTATTGGTTGAGCGGGGAAAAAAAAAATAGACCCGTGTGTACCCTACTTAAGGCTTCAATTAGACACATTAAAATGAGTAGCAACTGCAGTGCTTTCTTAGTGGAAGTTCCAGTATGCTTTTCAAAAACAATCATTAGAATGCCCCATATTAAATGATTTTATCTGTACAATAAGATTTACACTTAAACATTAAACATTTTATACAAGTCATAAAATATATAAAATACCACTTTTATAAATGTGTAAAATATTATATATATATATATATTACAATTGACCTAAAATCCACTATAGTTTTTTTTGTTTAAAGCAATTTCTGTCTCAAGCATTCGATTTGCAAACCTGAATGTAATGGATCTGAGCAGGAGATCTTGACTACTGGTCCAGTGCTGCAAGTGTTTGCACCTAATTAATCATTTGCAGGAACCAATTTTGTGAAAGAGAAAAACAGCTGCACCCCCTTTGTGTGCTTGTCATTGCCTTGATCGTAAGTTAAAAATAAATACCATGACCTTTGCCAAGTTTATGTTCTACTTTCCTGGGCGCCATGTATTTTAGGAACTGCCCCTAGGATGGTTCTGTTACAAATAACATTGACTGATGTGTTGGCATCTATAGTGATATTGTCAGTTAGAATGTTGTCACATTAATAGCACCGATACTTTTTAGATTTATTTAAAAGCTGTTGAATTGAGAACGCCTGTTAGGCCGAAATTGTTTATTTTTTTCCATTGGTGATCGGGTTATTTTAGTATTGCCAAATTATTTTGTTGAGTGTAGCACATTCTTTAATCTTAAATCAGTATTTGCTTCATTATTATTTGTACTCTTATGAACCGAAAGGTGAAAAGAAAAACCTGAAATATTTACAATCACCTTAGACCAGCATTTTCTCAGCCTTTTTTCCCTTAGGGAACCCTTGAAAAAAGTTAGGGTAGGGAACCCCTAAAATTATTTTTTGCTTTACAGCTTAGGGTAGCCCATTGATGTGATCAGTGAGTTGTAGTTATAATTATTATATAAAACATTGTAATGTTCTTCCTTTTTTTTCTTATGAAATATGGACTTATTTTGCTGCACAAATCTCAAATCTAGGTTGACCTAATTCTGTTTTAGGTTTTCATTTATCCAGGCAATGGTAAAGCTAGTAGTTTTTAGGCACAATCAATTGGACTTTTTGTTTCTAGTTTTGTAGCTTAATCAAGCCACTTCTGTAGTTTCCATGAGTGTCAGAAAAATACCTCAGCATGTTTATCCACACAGGTAGCACAGACACCTTAATCAAATCACCATGGAAAGGCATATATTGATTCTCAAAGAACAGGATGTGAGGTCTGAAACTTGTGGAACCACCCTGTTCTTTAATACCTAATCCATCCTTGGATTAAACCTTCAATTTTACATTGCTGAAGGTGTGAATTATCAAAATGCTGGGGTGAATATGTTGGAAGTAGCCATTGTCCATTAAACTGAAATTGAGGGGAAATCCAAAAAAGTAAATCTTGTCTCAGCACTTGTACATATACCCTGACATATAACTTTTTTATAGGGCAGATTGACCAAACATGCCTCTGCATTATTATCTATGATGAGTCTTTGCGGCATAACAGGGGCACATCTGCATCTTTCTATTCAAGAAAAGTGTGTTGTCATATTTTGTCTAGTATTTCTCTGTTTTTCTGTGTGTAAATAACACTTTCCCTGCAGGAAAACCAACTTAATATATAGTGTTATTTAAATGTATAAAAATTTACTTTTTTTGTTTCATATAGAATTGAATTTTTTTTGGTTAATGTAAAACCATGAGCTTTATGTAAGATGGTCTAATGATCATTTATTAACTTAAAGGGTTCTACTAACGACAAGACAAATCTTTAAGAAGATAAAGATTGTCAGGTGGCTACAAGAAATAATTGGAACATGTGATTGGGTACCCACATTTTTTACTTTAAATGTACGTCTGCTGCAGAGGTTGTGTTAAAGTGTAGGAAACACAAAATTTGCCCTTCAGTGTTTTTGGCAGCAGTCCTCCCAGTATGCAGAGTTGTTTTTTTATTTTGTTGTGAAGGTTTGTTACCTAGAGATCCTGCCAGTAACCATACTACCTGCTGCAGGCTGACCACACTAAGCTACTGTCTCACAATTAATAGCTGCGTTGTCAGCCTGTCATAGGTGATCCTTCAGTTGGCCATTGGGTTACCTAACAGGTCTACACATGCTTATTTCGGACCTGACAGCCAATTGAAGACACCCTTATGACAGTCTGACAAAGCTGCTACTAGTTGCAAGGCAATGACACCTTGCATTGGATTTACAAATAAATAATTGCTTAAAGAGTAAATCCACTTTTGTTGAGAAAAACACATCTCTCTCTACTTGATCAGTGTACATTGCAAGGATTATAACCAACTTTGTTGCATTTTCCTATCTGTTTCTGTTCTGAAGGTCTAGCGGTTTGTTGCAGCATGTCCTTTCCAAACTGCTTCCTGAATCAGGAGTCTGAGTGTTTGTTTGTTTTTTTTTTATAACCAGCTGGTGAGCTTCCTGTGTTGTGATAAGGAAAGGGGCAGGGGCAGCATCCCTCTAGTAGTGAATAACCCTTAGGGAGTATTTGACCAAAAATTACATTTCTGTTGCAAGGGATGCCTAAAATTGTACTTGTATCTTAGTGCAGACTTCTGGGAAAACCGGCCAGCCAATCACAGAAGCTGGAATTGACATTTCTGGGCGAGTTCCAAACTCCAACGGTTTATGGCACACTTCCAGGTCGCAATATTGCATTGAATTTTTTTTCCAAAACCGATTTAGAACATTACATTGGCTACAGTTTTTTTTTTAAATGGAATGGTACTTTTCTAATAGCATTCATATACAAAATGGCTTGTGCAACAATTTATATATGTCATATTCATTTTTTAATGATTTGTATTTCTTGTTTTTAAAGTGCAGTTAACAATTTAAGTTAACTGGGCACAATGAGGCATAATGCTAAACATACTAAAACATAGATTTTGGGTTTACACACACTTCAAGTGTTCACTTGGCAAAAAAAACAGAACCTGTAAGCTGACCACAGGTGTCCAAACTTGTGCAAAGGACTTTCTTTATTTTGATAACTAATATGTTGTTCATACTTAATGTTAAGACTGCTCTAGTAGAGTATATCTTCTAATTTTAAGGTATTTGTCTTTTGTCTTTTTCTCCCCTCCAAGGTATTGCATCTATGACTGTCCCGGTGTATATAGCAGAAGCAGCTCCCCCACATTTGAGAGGAAGACTAGTAACAATTAACACACTCTTCATTACGGGTGGCCAGTTCTTTGCAGCTGTTGTTGATGGCGCTTTTAGCTACCTTCCAAGAGATGGATGGAGGTTCGTAATGAATTTCTCAAAAGGTTAATAATTCTCTCTAATATTGAATTTAAGGAGAACTGTGAGTAGCTTAATGTGATTTTATCAAATCTCTGCTTCTCCTATTTGTATTTTTTGCAGAAGTCTCTCTAGAGCAGGGGCCTCAAAGTACCGGCCCACGGGCCAACTCCGGCCCACGAGCCGGTACTATGTGGCCAGCTGACAAGTCGGGCACACGGTCACGGACCGCATGCCCGACTTGCGGGAGCAGCTACACGGTCTGGATCTCTCTCTGATGCAGAGCTGCTCCTGTCGGCTCCGGCCGAAGCTCTGTCAGTTCTGAGCTCTGGCCGAATGATGGATCATTAGTAACCTCTGCACTAGACCTTACTAATCACCACTAGATAACCAGGGAACGATGATGTGCCTCCTCCCTGCAAAGATGCAAGTTATTATTATTATAAATATGTATTAAGTGTGTTATGTGAGTGTGTGGCGGAGGGAGTGTATTAGGTGTGCGGGGGGGATTGGAATGGGGGGTCCCCTATATTTTTCAGGTGCGATTAGGGATTCCTGTGCCACAAACTTGCGTTTTCCTGCAGCAGGAATCCCTAATATGGCATTTACATGCAGCAACTGTCACCCATTCAAGTTAATTATCAGGTGACAGCCGCTGCATTTACACGCCTGTATACCGCATGTAATTGTATGTGATATGATTACATGCAGTTACAAAAACAATCACTATCCCTGGATAAACAATTGTGTATCCAGGGAGAATGATTTCCTAACTGCATGTAATCCGTTCACATATGATTACATGCGGTGCACAGGCGTTTACATGCAGCAGCTGTCACCCGATCATTACTTTGAATCGGTGACAGTTGCCGCTTGTAACATGTGCATACATTAAAACTGGTACCGTATGTAGTAGCGGCCCCCACGGGACAAAAAAATGTGTCCACTGGTCCCCGACTAAATTGAGTTTGAGACCCCTGCTCTAGAGGTAGGAAGAGGAATCACCAGCACTCAGTAGAATAATCCAACATGTCCATTTTATTGGACATAGACGTCACACAATCACAAGAGCCAACGTTTCGAGACCACGCAGGGTCCCTTCGTCTGGGCATAAAGAGTCACTCCCTGATGAAGGCACCCTGCGTGGTCTCGCAACGTTGGCTCTTGTGATTGTGTGACGTCTATGTCCAATAAAATGGACATGTTGGATTATTCTACTGAGTGCTGGTGATTCCTCTTCCTACATTGTGTCTGCATGGTGCAATCCGTGTTCATCACTACAAGCACCATTGTCTACATAGGCCTTGATTGCTGCAAGGTGTGAAGAGGATTTCCCCTTCTATCCACCCTGCTCTAGAGGGACTTCTTTTCTTTTTTGATGTTATAGACAGTTCTTTTAAAAGTGGCTTCTCTCATTAGGCAGGTGATATTGGGGATATTGAGTAGGCACAGGTGCTATGGTCATGCCATTCTTGGATTTTTTTTTTCCCTGCCTTTTTTGTGAAATGTCGAACTTTTAAAAGCGAACTATGGGGTAAGTGTTTTTTCCCCATGGTCATGGGGAATGAGAGGACATATACTAACCTCCTCCAGTGACCCAAAGCTCAGTATATTGCGAAACCGCTGCAGCCGGGACAGATCCCAACAATGCTGTCATGATCCACCCAGCTGTGTGATTTGCAACTGACTCTGCCTATCTAGAGGCAGAGCCAGCTGTACCCGCCCCCTCCCCCGTCCGTTCCTCCAGTCAGTGCTGGAGGAGCGGGGAGGGGGGAAACCCTGCAGGGAGCCGTGACTTGACAGTCATGGCTCTCTGCAGGGACAGGATCAGGAAGTGAGCGAGCGACGGTATGTGTTTGCTCACTTCCCGATCTATTGAGCCAACGTGTGACAGTTTCATTGTCACACGTCGGCTCGAACTATGAGGATGAGTGATTTTCACTCACCTCATAGTTCTCCTTTTAACTGTGGCATCAAGAAGGTGTTTGTGTTATGTTTTCAAACTCTAGGCTTTATACATATAAATACAGCAATAACGGAATCAAAGTAATCTTGAACACATGCAGTTCAGACCACATCTATGTACGTCAGACCTTAAAAGCTAATGGAGAAATGTTCATATACTACCGTGGCTTTTGTCAAAGTGAATTGAATACCATGAATTTATTACAACTGAGATGACTAATGTAAAATAGTCAATAAGAGCCAATGCTGGTCCATGTAAAATTTTATGCCATTCAACCATCAAATGCCAGATTTTCCAGGTTTGGGCAATTCATGGATATACAGGTGAAACTCGAATAATTAGAATATCGTGCAAAGTTCATTCATTTCACTAATGCAACTTAAAAGGTGAAACTAATATATGAGATAGACTCATTACATGCAAAGCAAGATAGTTCAAGCCGTGATTTGTCATAATTGTGATTATTATGGCTTACAGCTCATGAAAACCCCAAGAACCCCAAATCCACAACCTCAAAAAAGTAGAATATTACATGCAATCAATAAAACAAGGATTGTACATAGAACAATATCGGACCTCTGAAAAGTACAAGCATGCATATGTACTCAGTACTTGGTTTGGGCCCCTTTTGCAGAACTTACTGCAATTACTTTTGCACGATATTCTAATTATTCGAGTTTCACCTGTAGTTTCTGTTGGTAATGGCTTTTATGATGGAACCTCATTCTTGGAATGATTATGCAAGTTGGATGATTCTCCATGTTTCTGAAATAGTTTATTAACTAATATAGTTGTACTAGGTATGAAATGCTCACTGAAAATGTTTTTTTTTTGCAACAAAAACCAAAGAAACATAAAGCATGTCTAGAATATAACGGACACCAAGGCAGTATGTGCAAAAGGTCTTACAAATATGGTGTTGAGCATCTAGTATGATAGCTGCACAGGTATTTTACTAACATGTACCAGTTGCAAGAACATCCTTGTCAGAACCAACATGCCATCTAGTATGTAAATATTAAGCAAGCGTTGCCAACCTGCAAAAAAAACAATTGAGAGAATCTGCCTAACTGTGATAAAAACACTTTTGGGTAACATAAGGATCTTCTCCCACTGATCCTCCTGGAATAGTTTCCAAATCTTGTTCCCACCTATGTTTACCTTGTTAAAGGAATGTTTCTAAATATTGATTGGGGGTGTGTATAGAGATAGGACATTAGACTGCCAGTGAGGTAAAGTCTGGGGGTAGGGTCGGTGCTTGTAACTCAGTCTATCCTCGGCATGCAGGGCATGACAGAGCTTGATTTTGATAAAAGGATTTGGTAAAAAAAATAACAAACCTGAGAGGCAGTCTGATGCAGGCTAACTATAGTTATTTTTCAAAGTAAGAAATCAAAAAGCAAATGGCAAACTGAGCTACGCCCTTAAATGTATTGCCCAAAAACCATGATTCTGACAAACCCATTAAAATACTTTCCCACCCTGCATCCCATAGCACACAAATCAGAAGAAATGCACAATATATCTCCACATGTAGTGAAACTCATACTATATACATTAGTTTAGCGGTGGGCAACTCCAGCCCTCTAGCTGTCCTTGAACTACAAATCCCAACATGTCTCTGCCTCTGGGAGTCATGCCTGTAACTGTCAGTCTTGCACTGCTTCATGGGACCTGTAGTTCTACAGCAGCTGGAGGACCAGATTTGCCCACCCCTGCATTAGATCATTAATGCCAGAAATAAATGGAACTTCATATTTAAATCTCATTTGCCTCAAAGTGCCATTAAAGCAGAAGTCAGAACAAAAATTGTATTAACCCTTTCAGTGGAGCTACCCCCACACTGCAAGGATTAACTGCTCGATTTTGGTCTAGGGAGGAAAAAAAATAAAGTCATACTCACCTGATCCTCTGAGATAGCTGTGACAATGCGCCCTTCAGCCTGTGTCTCCTCCTATGATCCAGCGATGGTATATCCCTCAACACCCTCATGTCCTATATACAGTATATAGAGTGTGATGACTCAGGGACCTCAGACCACCAGAAGGGGAGCGAGGCTGAAAGGACTGGGCTAAGAGCGAGCCCGCTTGGAGGATTGGCGAGTATAACTTGTTTGATTTTCCTCTCTAGACCAAAAGGAACAGCGGGCAGCCACACTGCAAGGGTAAGAAAAGTTATGCCCGGTGTTCTTCTTAAGGCTCCATTCACACTATGGTGTTTTGTCCGTGCGTATTTGTGCAAGCTTTACGCACAACAGAAAAAAATACCATGTATTCTTATAGCCCCTGTTCACACCTAAGAGTAGAGTTGCGTGTAAAAAAAAACGCCTGTCGGAAAAACTGCATGAGCTTTTTTCTACGCAGGTCAGCGCAATTTGTCCTCATAGACACAATAGAAAATGCACAACAATTTGTTTGCAAGTTTTTTTGCGCGCGATTTCCCATTTACATCAATATGTCACAGATCTGCGTACAAAAACGCGCAACTTAGTATATACGCAGAAACGCATGTATTCTGCACTGAAACACTGTCTTGATGTGAACGGGGGCTCAATGAAGAGCGTCAAGTGCTCGTTTGGTCTATGGAGCTAAAGTAACAAAGATGTACTCACCTGAATCTCAGATCCGGCTGGCTGTTAGATCAGTCCCTGCAGCCTCGCTCAGTTTCCTAGAAGTAACAAAGGTGCATATAACAATAAAATCCTCTTTTATCCAGATTTAAGGTGTATAATGTTCTTGTATACCCACCATATGCATGTGAAATATGACTGGCAGCAAACATACTACAGAAAAACATAATGCTGAGGTTGGTTCCGCCCCAATGCTTGTTTAATAGAATAATATTGTGTTCATAGACTTCAGTTCACAGCAATAACTTGTTAGAAGCAGCATCATTTGGACGCTTTTGAACACTATTCATTTTTTTTTATATATCTCTAGGATTCAGTTGGGTGGTGATATTAGTTAGAACAAGTTGCATGTATCTTGCATGAATTTTGTGTGCTGGACTCGTACGAGTGGAGGAATGTAGTTTTGCT